GGCCCCAGCCAGGGACGTCTGCGAGACGGCAGACAACCCCTGCCTGCATGGCGGAGTCTGCAAGTCAGAGGCTGGTGCATTTGTGAAATGCATCTGTCCGCCCGGTTGGCAGGGCAAACGCTGTGAGAAGGGTAAGTTTACTTTATTCCTTATGACTTAGTAGCCATGTATGTTTATTATTTTCTAGTCAACTGGCGGCTGCTACTTTTCGCCTGCAATCATGTGAACCAACATTGCTTTCATTTTTCTACTATATCGATGCATTTTTCAGTCACTATGCCACCAATAGGGAGCTCAAAGTTGTTTCCCTCAATAAAACTGAACTGAATTAATAAAAGTCTGCATCATAATCCTAAGATGTTCCAGTCACAGCAGCCTGTCGGCATTTTAATGCACGTCCTTCGGACTGTCTGTAAAAGTCACAGTCGACCACTTAAGTAGTATGATTTTGTCTCGTTCGGATTTCGATGTTTCTATAACTTCAAATATATTTTATAGAAAGTGTTATAACGGTGGTGTTGACGAAGCTGTTGAGTTGGCTGAGTCATGCGTCATAAATTTAAGGCGCCCATTGTTGGGGTGTCTATGAGTGTTTTCCTGTTCTCATTCGTGATCATCAATCATGTGGTAGTTTGGAACCCAATACAATATAGAATATTCCATTAGACAGGTTGACTTGTCAGCGAGTTAGTGGATCAGTTAATTGTAGCTTGGGGAACTTACTGAAATCTCATTTTTTGGAAAGACAGCCCACGTGTTAAGATTAAAATTATTTGACTGGAAACCAATTCACAATGGTGACGATGTAGTTTCCGGTTGGACTCATATAGGAAAATAGCAGCGATTAATTGAGGTTGATGGAGCTAAGCACTGTTTATTCTAAGAGCACTATAATCATCAGCCCCAGGCCGAGTTTAGAGGAGAAGGCGTATCTTGTCGGTTGCGATCAGGAATATGAGGGAAGTAGTGTGTTCACCAGTCTAAGGAAAATGCTCGTCCCGTTGTGTCTAGGAGCTCAATCTAGAGCAATCTCAGAATGTCGTCCAGCGACTTCTAACAAATGATGGAGTAGAACTGACAAAGGTTCCCCTTCTCCTCTAAACTGGGACTAGGTCAATGGTGCAATGGTAGAATGTTAAACTCAATGACCAGAGGTCCCGGGTTCGAATCGCGGGAGTTCCGACCCTTGAGATTGGGTATGACTGGCTGATGAGGGCTTACAAGCCAGAAATGTCAATTCCGGTCTGCGTTGTCTTTGTCGATGCCCCTCCATCATATGTCTGAAGTCCCTAAGCGGCTGCCTGCGACCAACATAGTACGAGCCCCAAGGCACAACGGGAGGTGTATCGTCCCTAATCAGATAGATAGGATGAATACCACGATCTCATTATCACTTCCGTGCAATCAATACTTCGATCACGTGATTGCTATGGGTAGCCATCAGGTCAGCCAAATCCGCGGTTTTTCTGTCCGGCTTTCCAAAGAGGTTTCAGATTATTACTGAATAATAACCAGTGCAGCCGAAGGCTGTTGTTTGCATGGTCAAACTTTCCCAAGAAAATGCTACCATCTATTCACCACCTCTTATTGTTTCAATTTTAGAGGTGACGATAATTCCTGAATTCGATGGTAATGCGTATATTCGCCTGGACGGACCAACAGGCCAACAGGCCCTAAAGAGACGTCGTATGACACTGGAACTCATTTTTACCAGGAGCTCCAGTGACGGTAAATGTTGCCTTTGCACACTACAATTTTTACTGGCATGCATAGATCTTTTCTGTCCCTTGAACGGTCGCCATGGATACTGTTATCTAAAAACTCACCAATTTTTAGACATTTCAATAGTTCAAAGACGTTCGCCTATCTTTCCTTCTATAAACTGATTTACGGACATTCTATAATGAGACTGACAGTTGCGTAGATAAAAATTTAACAAAAGGTGATTGATTGAGAAACTAGATTGAATTCCGAAAGATTATTTATTAAAATTTATGTGCAAATAAAACAAGTATCATTTTATTAATCGTAAAATAAGTTGAGCTTTCTGTGGTTGATTAGAAGCCACGAGAAGTAACATCAACTCAGGTAACACTTTTGACCAAAAAAGGAACAGATGCTCTGCACCCAGGCAACCCCAGTTAGGCAGCTTTTTTGTACCCTTTAAAGTTTCCCATTATTTGCTTTTATCTCACATTCGTTCTGTTAATTGGAAAACTCTCAGTAACCTGACACTTTTCGCGTCTCCAGGTGTTATCCTCGCAATTCCGCCGAGTCAAACGGGAGCCGAGTTCCTTTCTATCCGAGCGGAGGCTGATGACTGTGTAAAAATTCACATGCGAGTTGGTCGTCTGAGTCGGTTCCACAAATTGCCCATCTACCAATGGCTTCTCAAGAAGTTCCAGCCTCGGGAACGTGTCATGGTGTCAAAGATTTGCTCTATCGTGCATTCACGCTGGCACAATCTAACCATTGCCAAGCAGACGCGACGGTACGCAGTCTACCTGAATGGCAAGAAGATGGATCAGCAGACACTAGTAAATCCAATCTGCCATTCTGTTTGAATTTCCATCTCTGCCTCATCATCATCATCAGCGGCAGCAGCAGCCTGTTCATAACTTTATTTTTATTGTTTACCTTTCACCTTGATTTCATTTCCTTTCATTTCTACTGACCCTTATTTTCTCATTCTTTTCTTTTTTTACTTTTTTTATTTTCTTTTACTTATCCTTTTTCCTCTTTCTCCTCCTCCTCATCATAAACTTTCTCCAAATATCTTCGCTCTTCCTTCCTTTTGATCCTCTTCATTATAGCAGGGTTAGTCCCTGTTAGTTTACTGAAAACCCAATCTCAATGCAAAATGTTAGTTCTAATATTTTACTTGATTTAAAATCCTCTTAAATCTTCTTGCTATCTCGGTTCTTGAGCCGAGTGTATCTACAACATTTATTATTACTTACAAAGGCGTTAATAGCCTAAATCGAATACCCTTATTTTAGAAGATTACAGTTTCAAAATTCTGTTCATTTTAGCCAAAGGAAGCTGTCCCAAGTGAAATTCGGGGCCTACGCAAAGCCGTAAGTATGATATCATTTGACTTCAACGTATCTACTCTTCTTTTTGTTTGAGTTTCCAAGTCAGGTTGGTGAGAGTTTGTCATCCTAAAAGGAGGATAAAATAAGAATTTGATTTCAGAAGGACATCTCCGAGCTCCATTAGATCAGAGGCCTAACTACTAATACGGTTCATTTTCGTAAAGTTCATGAAGGGCTACTAAATGCGTAGTTTAAATCATGCGAACCTGTATTTTTGACGCGTTCTCATCCCAGGGCAGATGTCCGAACATTCATCCCTGATTAACCATGCAGACCTGGTAGCCGGGCAATCTCCCCCAGTTGTAAATTCTAATACACCGCTGATAGTTTGCGTCATTTGAACTCAAAGAACATTTTCAGGATAGCTGAGGCAATAATAGCAACCAGAAGAGGCTTTCTTACGTCTTTTTAATACAATAGCCAGTCCTCTATGCAATCCTAGCAGATCACACACCCAGATCACAGAAATACGCTTGGTTGCCTACTTAGGATGAGGCAGTATGAATATAGTTGTCATTTAGATAGTTCTGGCCTATAACCAAGTAATGAAAAGCGTTTTCAGCGAGACGAGACACTTTTTTATTGCAGTAGATTACATATCGGGTAAAAGGTTGAGTACTGGGGGATTAAGCAGACTTTTGAAGCTGTTTATTTAGTTCATTGGGTTGAACTTGATGCGCAAAATGCAGTTTACTAGAATTGAATTCTGTTCCGATCAGTATACCGGGGGACTATAGAGGCGGAAATGGGCGAAATCCAGCGCTTGTTGAGATCCGAGGAATTTCCTACGCTATTAAACGCCACAAAAAAGAACTCCTTGAGTACACATGTTGCACTTTAAAAGAATATTCATGAAGAGCAGCGACTTTTTAATTACACCTGTTGAAAAGACGGACAATTTTGTTTTTCGTCCATGAAATTGAGGTTAGTGCAATTACCAATAGAGGAGAATATCCGAGTTCCAGGAAGCAGTTCGGAAGAAGAAGCGGACAAGAACGCTGTGGTAATTAGTGAGCCATCACCGCACCAATTAAGACCTCAAGCGGTGGCTAAAGGAAATGAAAATTATAGTAGGCATGCGGGTGACCGAGACGAACTATAAATACCGTGTAATCTGTGCATGTATCAGCCTATCGGCGCAGGTCTCAGACTATTCTTCTATTACCTATGATTAAGGATTCCCGACGGAATCCTAAATTTCAGGACAAGTAAACTCTTGTCCACATCCAGTGCTAACTTTCAATCTCTAGGAAAGACTTTAAAAATGCTATTAAGTGATTTGCTGTGCAATTCATTTGTCGTTTGGCAAAGTTCACAAAATTTTGTGTTTCCCTTAAATTCTATTCAATAATCTGAGCTATCTGTTGGTATTAACCTTCCTGTATCACAATTAAACCGTTGTCTACGACGATATTCACCGTCACCTTCTGGCTCTCGGATATAGCCGTTGATGGCTCTGCCATCATGACAGGCTTCCAGCGTCTTCACAAGAGAGCCGTTGTCGAAGAATAGATAAGCTACCATCCCACGGTCCTTTTGGGCGTTATCCACCTCTGATTGCGGCCTCGGAACAACAACATCCGAGGGTCACTCGCTGTACCTTGGCTCATCTACGCAGTGGCCACTCAATGCTCCTTCGCCAGTACCGGCACTGGCTCGACCCTTCCACACCC